TAAGAATGCTTTTCTGCATGGTGATCTTGAGGAAGAAGTCTATATGGAGCAACCACCTGGTTTTGTTGCTCAGGGGGAGTGTAGTAGCCTTGTATGTCGATTGCGTAGGTCACTCTATGGTCTGAAATAGTCTCCTCGAGCTTGGTTTAGGAAGTTCAGCACAGTAATTCAAGAGTTTGGCATGACTCGTAGTGGAGCTGATCACTCTGTGTTTTATCGGCATTCTGCACCAAATCGGTGTATCCATTTGGTTGTGTACGTTGATGATATTGTTATCACAGGTAATGATCAAGATGGTACCACTAAATTGAAGCAGCATCTCTTTAAGCACTTCCAGACTAAAGACCTTGGTAGATTGAAGTATTTTCTAGGTATTGAGGTTGCTCAGTCTAGATCAGGTATTGTTATTTCTCAACGCAAGTATGCCTTAGACATTCTTGAGGAGACGGGAATGATGGGATGTAGACCTATTGACACTCCTATGGATCCGAATGTTAAACTCCTTCCAGGACAGGGGGAGCCACTTAGTAATCCTGAAAGGTATAGACGGCTTGTTGGAAAGTTGAATTATCTCACAGTGACTAGACCTGACATCTCTTTTCCTGTGAGTGTTGTAAGTCAGTTTATGACTTCTCCTTGTGATAGTCATTGGGATGCAGTTGTTCGTATTCTGCGATATATAAAGTCAGCTCCCGGTAAAGGACTACTCTTTGAGGATCAAGGCCATGAGCATATCATTGGATATACAGACGCTGATTGGGCAAGATCACCCTCTGATAGACGTTTGACATCCGGATATTGTGTTTTAGTAGGAGGTAATTTGGTGTCGTGGAAGAGTAACAAACAAAGTGTGGTTGCTCGATCTAGTGCAGAATCAGAATATCGAGCAAATGGCGGCAGCAAACTTGTGAGCTAGTTTGGATCAAACAGTTGCTGGGAGAACTAAAATTTGGCGAAATTGATCAGATGGAACTTGTGTGTGACAATCAAGCAGCTCTTCATATCGCATCAAATCCAGTGTTTCATGAAAGGCTAAGCACATTGAGATTGACTGTCACTTTGTCAGAGAAAAGATACTCTCAGGAGATATTGTTACGAAATTTGTGAAGTCAAATGATCAGCTTGCAGATATCTTCACCAAGTCCCTCACAAGTCCTCGTATTAATTACATCTGTAACAAGATAGGTACATATGATTTGTATGCACCAGCTTGAGGGGGAGTGTTAGAATAGAAATATGTATATATTCCTACTTAGAATAGGTAGAAGAATAGGAATAGGAATCCTAGTTAGAAAAGGATTTCAATGTATATGTATTGTCTATAAATAGGGTCTCAATGTAACAATTTAGATACACAATTCAATATTATTTTTCCCATATATTTCTCACAAACACCAAATGGCCTTCCGGAAGGGTAGACAGATCATGAATGCAATCCTTCTGGCAAATGAGTAGGTAGACTCTGGGTGAAGCAGAATGTACCAGGAGTGCTTTGCAAGCTTGACATCGATAAGGCATATGACCACATAAATTGGGCTTTCCTTCTCAAAATATAGAGAGATATGGGGTTTGGCAACAAATGGATTAACTAGATCTTTGTATCTCCACTGTGAAATTTTCACTCATAATCAATGATAGTCTAGAAGGCTTTTTCCAATCACAGAGAGGCCTGAGATAAGGCAACCCCATGTCACCTTTTTTGTTCATCCTAGCAATGGAGGGCCTAAACTTTATGATCAGGAGAGCAAGGGAGAACGGATGGATTAGAGGCTTCTGTGCTAACAGAAATATGGGCAATGCAATGGAGATATCGATATCTCATTTACTTTATGCAGATGATTCCCTAGTTTTTTGTGAAGCTGAAGTTACACAAATAAGGCATTTGAGAGCTATCCTAACCATTTTTGAAGGCGTTTCTGGGCTCCATGTTGACTGGCATAAAAGTTGTCGCTACCCAGTCAACCAAGTGCCTCATATGCAGATCCTAGCAGAGAACCTAGGGTGTCAAGTGGCTTCCCTGCCTACTAAATACCTAGGTATGCCTCTCGGAGCAAAGAATAAGGAGCTGGAAGTGTGGAATGAGATTCTGGAGAGAAGTGAGAGGAAACTAGCAAAACGGAAAAGTCAATATCTGTCTTTGGGCAGCAGACTAACCCTTATAAAATCAGTCATGGATGGCCAACCTACCTATATGATGAGTTTGTTCCCTCTACCAGTCAGCATAGAGAAAAAAATTAACAACGCAAGAAGAGTATTTCTATGGCAAGGCAACAAAGAGAAGGGGTACAATCTAGTCAAATGGGCTATGGTGATCCTTAGCAAAAAGCAGGGTGGTCTAGGCATAAAGAAGTTACGTGCACACAACGAAAGTTTACTACAAAAATGGTTGTGGAGATTTTGTTGTGAAGATATGGTACTTTGGAGGAGATTAATTTCACATAAATATGGGCTCCTGAATAGTTGGATTACCAAGGAGGTGACTGGTACATTTAGGTGTTCCTATGGAAAACAATTAGAAGATTGTGGCTTTCTTTCAATAGTAATCTGAAGTACAAAATTGGTAATGGGGAAAAAACTAGTTTCTGGAATGAATTGTGGATTGTGGAAGAAAACCTGAAAACTACCTTCCTAGATATGTATATTTTGAGCTTGCAACAGATGGACAAAGTGGCACAAGTATGGAGTCCTTAAGGGTGGAACTTGATTTTTAGGAGGGCCTTAAATGACTGGGAGATAAACAGAGTGGCTGAATTGCTGCAGGTCCTAAATGTTTTACCAGGAGTAAATGCAGGTCCTGATTTGCCAGTCTGGAAATTGCACAACAAGGGGTCCTTTACTGTGAAATCATGCTACTGGAGACTGAATTACAGTCGCACAACGACAACTATCTGGCCTTGAAAACTGGTCTGGAAGAGTAAAATCCCTCTCAAAGTCTCATGCTACATCTGGTTGGTGATCAGGAGAGCTTGTTTAACCCGTGAAGTACTACAGAGAAGAGGTATACAGATTTGCTCAAGGTGTTTTATGTGTGAGAAAGAGGCAGAGATAAATAGTCACTTGTTCTTGCACTGCCGAACAACTGTAAATCTGTGGAACATGCTCTTTTGTATACTAGGCATAAATTGGGTGATGCCCAGAACCTCCTTTGATTTGCTGAAAAATTGGGAAGGAGTGGGGAGAAGAGGGTCACAAGAAGACTGGTGTAGGAGCATTCCAGCATGTATTTGGTGGAAATTATGGAGAGAAAGAAATGAAAGAGGTCATGATGGAATAGCCAGCAGCAGTGTTTTGGATGGCGAGAGGCGACAAGGGCCTACCTTGCCACGCGGCGAGGCGCTCGCCTTTTTGAATTGAGGCGCCAATTAATACCAAAATTTAAAAATATTTAATTGCATATATAAATATCCAAAATCTCAATAGCAATAACATATATTAGCAAATATTTCAATTCAAAAACTAATAGTAGATACTAAAAGTCTAGAACTTTAAAGACCCAATAATTCAAAAGACAATACTAGAACTCTAAAAGTCTATTCTTCTTTAAAAATATTCAACTCTTGAAG